CCTGAAGCAGCAAGTTAGGAAGCTTTGAAGGCTCTGGCTTTTGCGTAGAAGGTTTTGCTTGCCAGCACTGTTGCAACTTATAGGGTTGAGGGTTCCAAGCTTTGGGCATGGATGCTGTGGGCAAACGCACTAGACCATGCAATACCAAGGACGTCATTAGCTTTTGGGCATGGATGCTCTGTTGACAAACACACTAAACCATGGCCGTCAGTAGGTTTTGGCATGGATGTTGTGGTCTCAGAACGGATGAGACCGTGGATGCCGTCAGGTTTTGGGCATGGACGCTCTGTTGTCAAAACGGTTCAGACCATGGACGTCATTAGGTTTTGGGCATTGGGCGTAGAGGAATCCCCGTAAATACCGATGGTTTCGGTACTGCAAGCAAAGGAAATGCCGTAAATACCGACGGTTTCGGCACTTGCAGAATTCCTGAATTTGCAGGCGCCGGGAACGCCGACGCCACCGATATATTCGGCAAATGGAGCCAACAACAACAACTACAACTACAGCTACGACAACAACAACAACAACTACTACTACTACTACTGCTATTACTACATACCACTGTTTACTACTACTTACTACTACTTACTACTTCTACTACTGCTACTGCTACATACCACATACACTGCAGATTACACACTGCATTCTACATACCGCATACTACTTACTGCATACTACATACATACCTCACCCTACATACTACATACGGCATACCACACACTACATTACATACTACATGCCACAGGGTTGAAGCCAGTTGGGTTGCAGTTACGAGCACCGCGATGAGTAGGGACTGCATTAGACTGAATCTGTCTAAATCTTATGAGACTGCTTTTACTTCGGAACGTTTCATTATTGCATGCTGAATGCCATTTCCGCAACGACTCTTGCACCACAAGCTTCCCACTGGAGGCGGGATTCGAACACCAAAGATTCAACCCTGCTATTTATTGCGGCTTGCTTTGTCCAGAACAGACTGAAGCGTCTACAAACGTGGCCATACAGCCACCGATTCTGCTGGAAAGCGCCGGCTCTGTTGTCGAAAGTGGCGGTTGATAAGGCTCCAAGATTTGTGCAGGGTGTCACTACAAGCACTGCAGCATATGGCACAGAACAGCATCTAAGAGTACTCCAGGTTCGCAATGCTTTTTGTGGGTGGGTAGTTGTTGAGTAATTAGACGATTGGACGAATAAACCATGAAGCCTTAAGCCATGTGTGCGTGCCTTCTTTGGCAGGCAGCTCTGCAAAGCAACAACAGACTGAGTTCGTCGCCACATCCGCATCTTGCTGGGGGCACCCTTGAGGAAGGTGTCCTTCAGACAGCAGCAAACCCATCTAGGCCGGTGCTGAAGGTCGTGACGCATTTTGCGCAGGCACATGTTGTTGCTTTGTTGAGGGCTGGCGTGGAAGGAAAAAGGGAAATCAGTTCAGGCCTTCTGCGCAGGTTTTGGCTTCACAAGCCGTCCATACTGTTGTGATTTGCAGCTCTGCGCTTCAATTAATTCTGAAGGATCTGAATACCCATGGCAGAAATAAATAGTTTCCGGTCTGCCCAAGTAAACGGTACTGGGTTATCTAGCGCGCTGCAAATCCGCTTGGCACCAACAAAACAATGTCGCCATTGGCTTGCTTCAAGTGCACTTAGAAGGGTGCCATGTCTTCATCCTTGAGTCAACACTGTAGCAGTGTTAGGTACCTCCGTGCGGACGTCGGCTTCCATGCCAGGAAGGTCCCTGGCCGCAGCTTCAGCCGTGTCAGTCAATGCTTGCGAGTTGTCACGTTGAGCCTGACACTGCCGTGATTGGAGTGCGCCCGCTTGGGCCTGCAAGCGTTAGTGGCGTCGTCAGCACTCCGACTAAACACAACGAGGGCATGCCCTACTCATAGCTACTCCCCCACTCCAAAGCTTCCGACGCGTCCTAACAAGAAGGCAAGAGCATATTGGAGCGCTTGGACAAAGCTGCCTCGTACCCTCGGGCTTGCCACCACCCTCGCTCCTTGTTAGCTGAACACCTTTCCAAGTTGTCGGTCGGTGTGCTGTCCGTGCCAGTAGAACTTTACCAAGACTGCCATCAAGCAGTCGGCAGACTGCAGCTACTGTTGTCTGGGCATAGGTGCAACCCTTAACATTCCATAAGACCTTTCGCCGTCGCTAGCCTGGTCAAGGTGGGCATCTTACTCCCACTTCCAAAACATGACCCGGTGCTAAGCAATGAAACAGCCGAAGAGTGTTTGACCCAGATGTTCTGCCCAAACCGCAGAAGTGCTGGATGCTAGGTTTCAGCGATGTCTTCATGGAACTATTTGCAACCATTCCCACAGTGCGGGGCCTCAAGGGCCTGCCCAATCCGTCGTAGATCTGCAATGGGCCAAGAATGTACTGCGTGTGCCAGGCAAGAATGTTGCAAGAAGCACCAATATGAGGTGCACCTCAACACCGTCCAGTCCGACGTAATGAACCTGTACTCCATTCATCACGAGCAGCTACCCATGCCAAACTGTAAAGAAATGGCTGAGTAAACAGACGCGTCTCCCAGCTTCTGAAACCGAGCACGATGCATCTGACCATGTACTCACGAAAAGCAGCTTGAAAGTGAAGCCGCATGGATGCAATGGGGTTTCGTACCTGCCAACCAAAGGCTTTTTGAAAGCAGCGTGCCAACACATGTGAAAGCTGCTGCGAGTATCAGTGGTCGCACTGCTGTGGTGGACGTTCCAAGGAAGAGGGAGATCGCTCAGTAAGCCTCGGACGGATGTGCCCAGGGGCTCATGATGTCTCTGCAAGGAAATGTGGAAGACTTCGTCCAGCCTGGTCCCAACATCAACTTGTGAGGACGTCCTGATTGAAATCTGACATGTAGCGATGAAGCGGCGGCAAGTAGGCACTTATGCATTGATGAAGTTCACATCAGTAACACGAAGTACTCGACGCCTTTCCGATCCGCTTGGCGGTCGACCGCGACTTGTCGGGCGATTCTCATCGCGCCGCCTGAAAACCCGCTGAATTCCGCTAAAGTTTGAATCCTTCCCATGCCCTTGCTCCGGCTCCTGCTTGCCGAACGCGATGGCAAACGAGGAGGCGCTCGTCTTGCCAGGTCCTGACCCCAGATCCCCACAGCTGTCACAAAGCTGTCCTGGACGAGCATCTACTCGCTTATCTGGCTTCAGACAGGCGCACGGAAGGCGGCTGATCAAGGAGAACAACCTGCTTGAAGTCGAAGTGCACATGACCTAGTACTTCGCAAAGGGATCCTGTAATTTGTGCTCGTCCAACGGTAATTCTTGTTCAGTCCATTGGAACCTTGGCACCCTGCCAGGAGCTTTGCGGCACAGGAAGGTTGCAATGAACCTGCGGCCATGCTCATGTTCCAGAGCTTCGGCAAGTACTCGCAAAATGAGGCCAGAAGGCCTGTCATCGCAGTACACAGAGAATTCCCGAACACCCCTGCAAGTGTCCTGCCATGTTGCAGGTTCCGGCATGAGCACCGGCAGGCGTAGATGAAACGCTACTGGTACTACGACTAGTATTGTGCATTTGACATGTTTAGCCTGCGCAAACAGACTTCAACGGACGAGTTCAGGTATGGTTTCTGTAAGACCGCCACCAGCCAACACCAACAACGACCCGCTTAGCTGAGTATTTGAGGTTAGGATCGCCAGGGCTCAGGTGCAGCGGCTCCTCCACCTTTGCCAAAATGCTAAACTGGTCGACACGGCGGAGGCGGTGTTCCATGAATTGACACGGAGGCCTTCTACCTTCCCCTGTGCTCCGAATCGGAGCGAAGCCTGCGTAAGCGGAGTCCCTGAAGACCCCGAACCACCTCTAAAGTCTGGTAGGTACTATCAAGGGTGCGGTTTGGCTTGGCGTGGCTGTCCTCCGGATTCTTGTTGTAGTTCCAGATGTTGAATCCGGCAACCTCGCATGGGCCGGGCCAGCACTCCCTGCGGACATGAATCAGCCGTGGTGGGATCCCAATGCTTGCAAAACTCGCTACGGTCTTTGCAAGCAGCCCTGATGCCTCACGGTCCGTGTCAAAGAGAATGCGGAGGTAGTTGCGCTGGCGGGCACAGAACATCCAAGCTCTGCGAGATTCTGCGAGCATCGCAGAAGCACAAGCCACAAGTGGACTCTGGGGACACTCACATCGCTGATGTTCCCAGCCGCCTCTGCAGCCTCGGCCTGCCGGTATGGCCAATCTCGTCATGCTGTCTCCGTCAGTCGGAATCCAGTCGGCACCTTGAGAAAGGGTGCCAGCCACATGTGCTGGTCATCCATTGTGCAGCAGACCTCGGACAGCTGTGATTCACATACCTCGAAGACTCTCAGGGAACAAGAACTGACTGATGTACCCCATCGAAAAGGTTCGGAAGCGTTCGGACGTCCCCCTCCACGCCCTGCTGGGACCGCAGCTGCTGCATACATGAATTATGTCACAAGTCTCTGCATGCTGATGTTGGACGAAGGCCAAAAGCTGCCTCCAGGTCGTTCAAGTCTCTGGGGTAGGCATCCAGCTTGACCTGTCGATGTCTTCCCTTGAGCCCCCGGCAAGTTTTCCGATTGAGCACTTGTAAGTCACTTGAACCGAAGATCGTGGTGTGAACAGACTTCGGCTTTACGAGACTATCACAGTGTTGCGCATGTCCAGCTTTAGCAGGAAGGCAACACATCTCTGCATGAAGGGCGACTTTCTGACCGTTCGAGGTTCAGAGGAGGAACATTCAGGAAACCTCAAGTCTTTGTCGAGCCGGGTGAGTCTCGAATACAACTATGCTCTTAGTGTACCTGTGAACCGAAAGACGAAGCTTGCAGAAACTAGCCAGGCAATAGCATGCTCTTCACAGTAAAGGATTGCTCCTGCGACCGAGTCCCTACGGAGCCCGTCGACCCACCGCAAGATTTTGATCAATTGAGAATCCGAATTCGAGAATACCCTGACCTCGGGTTGCCAAATTCTTGTTTTGGTCCTCTCAATGTGGCTCCGGTTGCTCGTGCTCCGAAAACACTGATGTGATGAGCAACTGAGGTGCTGGATTTGGATGCATGAAAAACACCGCAATTTCAGCCCAGCTGAAGCATGGCCTTCTCAAAATGCACAAGGCTTTCCGGACAGTCAGGAATCCCCTCCCATCACCTCCCAAACCTTCCAAGCGAAAATGCCTTCTGAGGGATTTGTCGGAAACTCACCGAATCAAGAAATTGAACAGATCTATTTCCTAATTGCTCGTTCGGGGGAGCTTTCAAGGGTTTTATCTTGTGACTTCCGGAAGTCTTCCAAAGGCGTCCGAAGACTCGCAACAGCCTTCTATAGGCTGTGCCGTAAACCACCCAATTAACGGGAATATTGTTTCGCACATTTCAGAATCAATCTTTCATTTTGGGGCCTGCCCAGTAAAGAGTTTGGTTCTCAACAGGGTCCGAGTTTGCTGATATTGAAGCCCTTTAAACATGTCTTTTACAAAGTCGTGCGCATCAGCATTGAGAAGACAAGCATACCCTCACCGACTGTACAAGATCTGTTTCTTGAGCAGCGATGTCACTGTACTTCGCTTGGCTTGCAAGCTGATGTCAAACTGAATTGCGAACCGCTCCCCTGATCTCTGCACTCTCCACGGCATGGCCTCATCACGCACCATGGGAGCAAGATTGCCATCAAGTACCTGTTCGGGCAGTTGAGGGTATTGTAAGTCTAAGGAGCCGAATCAGACGAATGGAAAAATCAAACAACAGAGACACGCAGACAAGCTGACAATAGGCGAGAAACAGAGCTCGAACACAGATGGAAACACGAAGACGCAGACACAAAATAAACGCATCAATATATTGAAAGAGACGAGTACAAGCAGTGGTCCCAGGGGCCCAGGGACCCAGCCTCCAATGCAGTCAGTCCCACATAGAACTGATCTCCCCAGGTTGAGTTCACCTGGCCAAGTCCATGTCCAGTGCTGCTCAGAATAGCTCATGAATCTTGCAGCAATCCATGAAAAGGCAGACCAAAAGCGTGACCGTGCTGCATACCTGGGCGCGTGGAACATGTGCTCTGCAGCAAACGGAATGCGGGGGACATGGGGAAGAGATAGCAGCAAGGGAGCTGCAAATGCTGTGCTGCCGACGATCAAACACACGTCAGCCGTAGCAATCTTGCTGCACTTTTTTGTTTGAGGTTTGCACGTTGCGACGGAGTCTGTCTCCGTAGACCACATCTTACACCCTACATGTGCTTGAATCCTTCAGCAGCTCTTGTAAGGTTTGCGACTTCTGGCCAATTTACGTGCCTCAAACCGACCTTCGTGGGGCTTCGGCTTAGGATCTGCAACTGCCCATTTCGAGCAGGTCTGAGGCTTCGTGTGCTTCAGCACTTGATCACCCAATCTCTGTTGAAGTATTTCTCTGCCGGTGTGACATGGGAATCAGGATTCAGGCAGTGTCTTCGCTTCGTCGGATTCGCCACTTGATCAGGCTCCTGAGCACGATAGCACCGCCGCAAAAGCTCTGACGCTCCGATCGTGAAATTCCACGCCGAGCTGCCACCCCTCTCCATCGTTTCTTGCTAGATCTACATGCCAAGTTTCAGGAAGTTTCGCGGAGAAAACGGATTTGCAGACAGTCTTAACCATCTCCACGTTCGAAGCTTTTGCTGCGATTTGTTGATAGATTCTTCCGCCAAGAATGGCTGGAGAACATCGTTTTTTGCCATAAATGCCCACCATGCAAAAATGCACTGATCATCGTGAGCTTGTTTGGGCCCTCGCTATTCCACGTCCCCTTTGTCGCTCAAGGGCTCGCGTCATTGGCCGACCATCGGACAGGCGTGGAGTCACCTGGACGCAGGAAGCCGTTCCAGGAGAGCACGGCTGAAATTATAAGCCAATCCTGTCCACGAGGTGAAATTCCATGTCCTGCCTTGGAACAGTCTCAGCTTTTGTTCTCCCCCAAGCTGCCACAACACTGAGATCCGTGGTCAGGTTCTGCCTACTGCTTGCCTGAAAACTGATGAGCTGCAGGCGCTGGCACAATCAGCTGTCGGTGGTCTTCCCCCCAAAGCATCTGAGTTCCTTTCCTGGCGGCACAGTCGACTCAGGAATTGACAATAAGCTGGTTACCCTGCTAAGCCTCCGGGGCTTCTTCCTGCAGCTCCTGGCAAAAGCTGGACCATTGGCCAATCTCCCCTCTCCCCCCAAACCCCCCGACAAAGTCAAAGTAACAGCGGTGCCCACATTTGTACCAATATTACCAATCATATCGACCTCTGCGTGGGATATCTCATGTGTGTCTATTGAACAAACTTGGGCCCGATGTACGGCTCAACTCAATTCGAAGGATTTTTTGTTTCGGGGGGCTGACGACCACAGGCAGCGCGAGCCGACCTGTGGTGGGCATGTCCTGTTGAGCTGACAGGCCTAAACCAGATCAGCGGCTATACATCGTCGTAAATGATGGTCGGGCCCGAGACCCCCTGTCTGTACACAGCGCTCACGTAGACACATGGCCACAAGAGCAGAGAAACAGACGACCTGCTTTTCGTGATTTCTAGCCTCCTGGGGGTCTTTCCACCATTAGACTCGTCTAGAGCTACTCCGCTGCTCGAAACCCCTTGTCTCTGATGTGGGCACCTCATCAGAGTCAAAAGGCAGATGAGCTGGCAGCCAATCATGTTCAGCCACTGCCTTAGAACGCAGGATCCTGCTGAGGTGATCCAACGGGATGATCTTCACACCGTACCTCCAGAACAGACTCATCCTGCGTGAACAAGATGAGTTCGCATGCCTGATCAGGCAGCTCGGCAGGTTTCTGGAAGTCAGACGTGTCTGCCACATTCAGAGGCCTCTTCAGGCTTGGTCAGAACACCGGGAGCTCTTCTGACCTGCACCATGGCCCTGAATCGTTTGACACAAAGCTACTCCTGAGCGGCCTCACCAATGAAGATTGGGCTGCCATCCAGCAGGATTTCCAGGTCCCTGGCAAAAGGCAGTGGTCATTGCACGCACTTGCAGCAAACCCTGAGCATCGGTGGCACTGGTGGGCATGCCAACCTTACGCCCCTGCTTGAGTGCAGACGTGACTTGTTGTAATTCCAGACCTTGCCGACGGATTCCGACCGGACTGTTCTGCGATGAGCCCGATCACTGACAGGACAATGAGTCTCCAAGACCTGGGCTCTTATCATACTGATCTCGGTCTGGCAATCCAAGTCGACGGTGACCTTTAGGAATGGTATGACACAGCACGCATCAGCATTCGACTGCATGCTTGCCGACCACTGAGCACACTGCAGTGTGCACACGGCCATTGAAGAAGGGTGCAAGCCTGCAGAGACGACAGCCACTGGCGTACCCGAATCGTGCAGTGACCAGGCATGCGGCCAGACGTGAAGATCATCCCGGGTCAGGTTGACCTGAGGGCGAAAGACTCAGAGCATCTCAACTTGTCAAAGCCAAGGCCGCTTCAACCTCAAAACAAACCTAGCCAGGCCTGGTCAAAAAGCTTTTCCGGTGTGCGCGGATCATGATCGTACTCGTCCAATACCTGAGCTGCGCTGAGCTGCGAGGAATTCAACCAATTGACATGCCAGCTACGGTGCTACGGTTAGTAATGGGGATCCAGTGCCCTGCAACTCAATATATCCTCCATGTTCAGGTCGAAGTAAGTCAAACCAGTTCTGGTGAACCGTTTCTGGCCGACCAGTGGTGCACCGATCAGGGTGTTGGAGGTTGGCAACATGGTGAAAACCCAGAATTGGCACTTGTTCACATTGCTGACCAGCTCATCTAAGGGTCTCGGCAGACCTGTCGAAACTGCAGGACCGTAATTACTTGCTCTGCTTGAGCCTTCGACACTACTGTGGTGCTGCAGGCTTGGAGGCACCGAAGTACTGTACAGGGAATTTTCAACAATCCGGCCATTGCAAAGACAAACGCTGGTGAATGAGGAGTTCACATTGATGGAGTGAGGGTCCGCCGTGACCTGCACTGGGCGTGTGCACTTTCCGGGCTGCTGGTTCAACAATGGTAGTGGAACTGGACCGCCTGCCGGTTTCGATCTTTCAAGACCACGGGAAATCCACGTCCATCAAAGATTTCGATCTCAGGAATCATGCCAGCAAATTCAATGGATCACCATATACCACCACTGAGGATGCGACTCCGGCGAGACCAACGAAGTCTTTGTCACCCCATGTAGATACGCAGTTGAAAATTAGTGTCCTGCAGTCTTCCGGAAGTAATTGGTTACGCCTGACATTGCGAATGCCGAATGCAAGCCTCCCTCGAGGAAGAGTCGGGATCACTACCTCGCTGCCGACTCTCATGCGAACATCTCTCCAAGCCGTTTGAGATCCAAGTTCACAGCACTTTCCTGTAGCTGACTAGCAATCATGGACGAGCCTGAGCACGCGCATGTTGGCAGATCTTGAGCCCCCACTGGCGTGCTGCAGAACAGAACAAGCTGCTGCTAGGCTCGCAAGCCTAACGTCACACGCGGCTCTGCTGAGACTTGACCTTGAATTCAATCTTGCCAAATGTTTTGCTGGAAGATGACTCTAAATTTTCATGCAGAAAGCATTTGCTGCTTGTCGCTTCCCACCACCGAGTCCCAGTGTCTGTCAGATTTCACGTTGCAACCGAGAGGTCTGTGGTCACAGTGGTTCAAGAAAGCCCCGCAAAATCATCCAGACATGAGACTCGGACTCTCCAGCACATCAGTATCATCGAAGCTGCGCACAGGGATGTCGAGGCCCATCGCAGCTGCCTGCGCCGGAGGAAGTCACTGACCACTTGGAGCAAGTCACGGGCCAAGCTGGATCTGCTAAATGAAGAAGCAAGGACTCAGCCGTACAGCAGGACAGACACGATCACTATCTATACCCAAAGCAGGAATAAGACATGACAGATCCTGGCTTTTTGCCTCCGCCAAGAGCTCGAGCTTTTCTCCGAACTGGGCCTGAGCGAAGATGCCGGCCGGAAGCCCGGAGGTATCGTTCGTGCCGAGAGGCTGTGGCCAAGTGCTCACCGTGGTCCGGAAGCGGAGAGGGAGCTGGGGCATGGGGCATGTGGGGCCTTGGCGTGCTAACCGAAGACCGAAGCAGTCCAAGACGCACACACAAGACGCTCTTGGGATGCACACTCCGTTGGATGTTGCGGGTCCTTCGCGGGCTATGAAGGCGAAATTTGCAGGGTTCTGACTCTGACATAATTTTGGCTTTCTGTCGGAAGGTGTTGGCACCGATTTAAGCACACCGGATTGTAAGCACGTCCCCTGTGAATTCCTCCGCTAGTCAGTAGAAGACAGACGAACCTGGAAGCCTCAAGCCGAAGGGAAACATCCACACAAAAGCAGCCAGGAGGAGCACCAAGCAACGACTCAGGGGGACCAGGAGGTTCTACGGTAGGAGGCCAACTACGCATCCTCATATTGACTTCGGAGCTTCAAGCACACGAGACCTAGTGATTGCAAATTCAGCATTGGCCATAAACCTGAACTGAGCATTGCACTGAACAAGCCACATGTGGCCGTCAACGGCCACAGGGTCAATCAAGCATGACTCTACAGCGGTCCGTTGTTGGAGAAGCAATTAAGGGAAAGCTTGTGCGAAACGGAAAGATCGGAGCCCCGGCGACGAAAGCAACTTTGGCTTGCTGTGCGTATCGGCGCTGATTACCCTGCACGACTTTGCACTGTCACCGGCGCCGCAAACATGCCAGAACATGGAAAGCTGATGAAAGCTGGTTCACAGCCGTGCTTTCCGAATGCTTTTCTTGTTGAACATGCTTGGTGGCTTCTACATTGTGCGTCCGCTCGGCTCGAGGCTACTAGTGAAATCCACATCTCGAACAGGCCTGCGCTTGCTGCGAACTTGCTGAAAAGAACCTGGCAACTTGAGCACAACTTGTCAAGGCTGCAAGGTTTAACCTGCTGACTTCTCCTTGCGCACGGTTGCTGCAAATTCTCACTGCCTTCGGCTCTGCGACGATCGGAAGAGTTCCAGAGCCTGCAGAGATTGCCTCGGGAGCTGCGGAGCAGTGTCGAACGCTAAACTGATCATGCACGGTCCCACTCTGAGGCTTCAGCAGCAGCTCCTGCTGTGTGTCTTCTTGTCGACTTGGTGATAGCAAAGCAAGTTGTTACTCGGATTCAGCTGTGCATGTCAATGTAGACCCTTGGCACATGACGGGGCCGTGACGACTTACAACACACCACAAGCAACTTGACAAGGCCGCAGAATAGGAGCTCTCTTGAACCACCAATCTCGGAGCAAAGCAGAACGTGCGGAACGAGAGTACTTCTCAGGATCTTCGAGTGCTGAAGGCGAGAGGCCAACAACTCATTCAAGTCAAGATGCCGTGTCACCGCAGGAGGCAAGCGAATCAACTTTTGGAACGAATGTCGACTTCCGGAGTTACATCACGGACAAAATAGCTCTTTTGGCTTCTAAGCCCAAGGCGCCTGCGGATCCTGCGGTTTGTAGGTCGCATTCAGGCGCTACACATGCTAGTGCATCTATGATCCTATGCAGCGCAAGCACTGCGATCAAACTTTTTAATGTACGGAGGTCAACACGGCTTCTTCAACTACGATACAAAATACAACGGAAATTCACGTCTGCGTGTGACCGAACGTGAAACAAGTTTGGTCATTTGGTGTTATGCTGCGCTTGGCGCGTTTCGCGCTGTGGTTTCCATGCATTTTTACTTAAGCCGTGGCCTCATTGGATGCTTGGTGCTCCTCCGAACTATGTTGGGGCTCGGCAGTTGTGGTGTCTGTAGTCGGCAGCTCGGAAGTCGACGCATCCGGTGCTCGTTCCAACACAGTATCTACGCTGGTGCGGATAGTCTCATTCAGTAAATGAAGCTTCATCGATCTCGCAAGGCAAAGGGCTAACTGAAGGTGCGTGGCTATCCATCCGAGTACGTCACCATAAAGCGCAAATGCCCGGTGACTATAAGCACATCGTCCTCCCACAATGTTTGTCGCAATCCGGCGAGTTCTATGCTCAACCGTTAATCTTCGACCTGCTTCGGGATGGGTGATAGTAGATGGTCGGTCAAGCTTCGGCGGTCACTATACTGAACATGCAGCATACTTCGCCTAGCCACTTCTTCCCATTGGCCGCGCACTGGAAGTTTTCCCATAATCTCAAGCACACTCGCTCGGAGTTTATCTCCATGCTCCATAGCATGCTGCAAGGAATGTGCCTCGCATTGTATAATGTCGCGCGACAGACGCGCTTCACATGGTTGAGGAACTAAACGATCATAAGATGACATAAGACGCATATCGTGGGTATTGGAATGAGCGCGTCTTTTCTAATGGACGCGACCACGCTGGGATTTATGCCCTGCATCCCTGCAAAGGACGCATCACAAAATGTGACGATCGCCAGCTCTCCCGTGCCAGGCAATCGACCTTTGTAGACAAGACGACTACCTGCATCATTCAGGGCGAGTGCTACAACTCGATTGGCATCCCTCAACGTTTCGACAGTCGCTTTGGCTACCTGTGCTGTTGCAGTGCGTTCAGGCGGTATGCAAGATCGGGTCGCGTAGCTCTAGCAACCAAGGGAACGGGCTTTCTCCTCTCGGGACGTCTATTGGGCGAATGGCCTGGTATTGTCCCGGCACTTGACTTCTATAGTGGCGTCCTGGTGTTGTATGTATTCACGGCCGCAGAAGGAGAATTTGTCTTGCTCAATGCGACCGACCTTGCAGAGGCCGAGTAAACGTTGGATGGCATGTTCGCCTGTTCCTCGGGCAGCCCAAAAGAAGTCATCTACATGGGTGCAAAGTGCGGCGCACAGTGATCTTGAGTCGTCTGTGAGAAAATATAGTGCTGACAGGATCTGAGACTCTCGTAGTCCGAACTCTCGACTGCTCTCTGCTGTACTCAAGTATAGATTACGGCCGGCCTCTGTCGTCCCATAGACTGGCACTCGAGCTATCATATAGCCGGCTTCCTGCATCTCACGATCAGGTACTCCCCTTGGACGCTTAGGTACCGGAAGGATAAGCAAGCGCTCCAACGGCTTTCCCTCAAAGTATGCATTCGTAATATCAGCAGCTCGTATGCTAAGTCCAAGGGATACTGCCCAGCTGCAGATGAGAGCTATCCCCTCCTGCTCGGCTGTCGGTGAATCAGCTCGTATGTCCTCTCCGTTCATTTGCTCAAAGTTTCCACAGGCTACAAGCCTGGCCTTCCACTTATGCGTTTAGCCCGGCATGCTGATTAAATGTTCGTTTTTGTCTGGAAAAACCCATTTTGTGGGTATACAAACATGTCCTTACGAGCATCTCCTTGGCGGTGCACGGGATTAACTCGATGTACTTTTGCCACTCTGTGTCCATGGCCCTATCCAGACCAAGTTGCACGGAGACCGAGGCCTCAGGTAGTCAATCAGAGTTGCCAGAATGCTGCTCCTGTCTCCTGAATATTATCTTGAGGGCTGGTCTCCCAAATAGAACCGTTGTCTTGGTAGTCGTGCTTGGGTCCAAAGGCTCTGTAGCTTCGGAGCATGCGTAACATGCCTTCACGTACAGTGCCACAGGATTTGGTGGATGGTCTTCTAGGGATGAATCCCCTCGGATATGCTTCACCCTTCTGCCATGTTTCTCTATTATGCAATTAAATTAGCGATTCCCTGTCGGTGGCATCGTTCCCAATTAGGTTCGGCGCACGACACCGCTATGCGATGAGACTCGTCCTCAGCCCTGGAACCATTCCCTCACAAATGTAGCGACAATGGACTGTGAACCTTCAGGCTCCAGCAAAGCCTTAATGCAGCCTCTAGTTCGAGTGCCCAACTCGGGACGGTGCATGTACGAAATACCATTGACAGAGCACGGGCGAGCGGCATTGTCTCTACAAAAGTGCGGATCCGGTAAAACCGGCTCTTCTGTGAGCACACAATGAGCAACTTCCATCTAATCTGCAGGTCGCAGTTCTCGGGGGTATAACGAGGACAGGTACATTTTCACGGAGTAACCAATGCGCGTTTTCTGCCTCGCGACCTATGACGCGGCAAACTGTAGACCAGACCGTCGCTGTGGAGCCAGGGACGTTATCCCGTCTATAAATGACCACATCGCCTACGCTATACTCGGCTGCAGCATTCCGCTGCAGAGCCTTAACTACCTTGCGTGATGTGTCCAACTGTATAAATGCCTTTCTTGCCTCCATCCGAGCCCCATGCCCTGTGCCGCAAGTAAAACGAGCTGTTTCATCATATCGGGCCTGATAGGTCCCAAAGCTTTCAGACTCATCAGTAATAGATGAGGGAGCCTTGGGTTGTTTCCCTCA